AAGCAGAGACCTTCAGGGAAGTAGGTGGTGGCTGGGACTTACAGGAACATTTTTTCTCAGGTTGTGGTATTCTTCTAAACTTTTGTTGAAATATTAGTCAAGTATTCCAAAACTCTGTTCTTCTGACATCCAGCTTAATTCTCAATACTGCACCTGCAAGGCAGATTTGGTATAAAACTTGCCTTGGCTTTGTGATCACTATGGCCTGATGGTCTTTGGAAATAGAAAAAGCCATTCAGGGGTTTAATGCTGAATCCTCACCTCTCTTTCTCTGTGTCCCCTCTTTTGTTTGGTACCCTCATCATAATGTCCTCCAACCTGCGAATCCCCATTTTCTTTTGTTTCAGGCTTCATTTAACTTTTAAAGTCATTGTAATCTAACCTTATTTTTCACACCCATTTCTTTATTTCCTTAACTTCAGTAATTGCTATGCCTGATGTGTGAACTTTGTACAGTAACAACAGCAATGCATCTATCTCTTATGCACAGCAAATAACAAGCGAGGCTCTGAACAATAGCTCTGGAGCCAAGTGTCTGAGACAGCTGAGGCATGGATACTTGGACAGTAAGTCTAGGACAGTCAAGCTGTACCTCTCCCCTGCGGGTCCTGACCCTGAAGAGAATTGCAGAAGAGTTTAGAGGGAACCCTAAAGGTTTAGAAAAAAGTTGCATTTTAATTGACTTTCTATTTAAAAGAAAAGAAAAAAGGGAAAGCTCAACCAGAAGAATTGTACAGTTAAACTACTCTGATTACTTGCCTTTTCACTGACAGCAGCTCATTTCCCCAGAGTGAGAATACAGACACAGGCAGGAAATAATTACGGCTGGTTCTCTGCCCTGCTGGGAGGAGCTGACCTGCTCATGGGCTATTCATGGCTGGGAGAGTTTCACCACCAAGTGAGATGCCTTCTGGACCTAGATAAGCCTGGAAGGGAGTATTCTTGGAAGGAAGCTGAAGAAACTGCAATAGCAAAGGAAGGTTCCTGAGCTCAAGGCTCTGTTGCTAAACATTGCTGGCAATATCCCCATGAAGCAACATTCCAGTGAAAATGCTGATTTTTTTTAGACCCATCTGTCTCATCCAAAACACTTCTGTTCAAGGAGCTGTGGTGGACTCTGAGGGAACCTTTCTGCACTGCTCTCCCTGGGCTCCTGGCCAGGCAGATCAGTCTCTGGGGCAGACCCAAAGCACAGTATCATTTTCTAGGCTAGGACCTGGTGAGTGATGCTGGAACAGGCAGCCACGCCAAAGGCTCCATGCTCATACTGAGACAGTGACGTGATGGCACCCAGGGAAACTCAGAGGTGGATGTGAGCATGCAATGTAGTCACACACTTCGTCTGGGTATTCCCTTCTAACACAATCTCTTGGGATGAAGGGCTTGAGGAAATCTTAGCCTTATTCTGGTCAGCTTCCCTTTCTTGTATGGTTCTTCCCTGGCATGGCAGAAGTGCGCTTGTTGGCTAAACTCCTTGTGAAATAGGAAGTTTCCCTATGTTAAGCCCATACCAACTATTGTAACACGGTAATATTTCTGACCTTTTCTGTTCATTTGACGATATGTGTTCATAGTCAGTGACAGAATAGAATGTAGTACAGTCTGCTGGATTTACAGTGTTCAGTATGGCTGCATGCATGCTTTCCTAGAGCTCCCAAACTCAACAGATAAGATAACTAAGCTTTCAGGGGAAGTTAGTTGAAACAGAAATGAGTAATGCAGTTAACAGTGTGTGATTCAGTTTGAGAATCAATACAGACTGTATTGAGCCAGAGTGAGAGCCAGAAGAGGGGCTGCTAATACTGTAGGTCCGAATCAGCAAGATATGTAAAAAGTGCATCCACCTAACATGAATTTACCAGAGAGCATTTAAAAAAATCAATAAGTGGAGCATTAAGGTCAGGTTTACAGGAAATTGCAGGAGAATCATTCAGGTTGGCACCGCAAAATATTGAACACTGAGATGCAATGGCAAGGAGCTGTCTAAGTTCAGTATCCTCAGGAGGGGTCTTCAGAGCTGCCAGCCCTTGCAAATGATCCACATGTGGAAATGCCCCCTAAGATCAAGAAAATGAAAGGAGGCAACAATCAGATGTTGTCTAGAGCCACCAATTCTGTGGGTATGTCAGTGTGCCAAAACACCAACACTGCAAATATTTTCATCTAGCAGAACTATACTGAAGAGTTATAAGCCCCTGGGGACGTCTTGAGGGGAATGGCTTTGGCTGGATTGCCCAGGTCTGGTGGGGTTGAATCTGTCTTCCAGTTATTTTCTGTTTTCCATTTTCGTAAAACTGAAGCCCGCCTGCGTTCCTCAGACTTTTACTGTAGCACCATTAAAGCTGAACAAACTCCTGCCGTGGGCCTTACTCTGCCATCTGTAGGCTGCAGCAGATGAGTAGGTGAGCACAGGATAAGCAAAGCTGTGAACTTGTGACGTCTCAGGGGCTCTGCAGTACTCTGCATGGGGGCTAAATGAGGGAGTCAGGAGCTACTTTGCATTTGTCATGAGGACGTCAGCTGAGAGTGAACCTGCAGTCTGCTACTGTGAAATAACTAGAAAGTTCATACCTTTGCTTACGTTTCACATTATTTATGTTACGTTAATCACATTTACACTTTCATGGCCGTAGAAGTGGATTTTTAAAAGGTGGTTCAGTGGAAGGTTGTTAGAGGTACCACTTTTGCTTTGTACTTCTCCATAGTGAGGATGTTGGTGTTTATTACCCTCCCAGATGTAGCTGGGGCTTCTAGCTCATGATAACTAGATCATTTATCCAAGATGAAGGAATAGTGACAAGGATGTTGTTTTCAGGGATCCAGAGAAAAATAATTAGACTGAAAAAATAAGAACTATCTCTTAACTGAACAGCTATATATAAGGAACAATATATTGAGATATGTATTTCCAGAACTACAGTGCTGTATAACATCACCCTGTGAAACACTTGGCTGCCTTAGACACTCAGGTAAATGCCAGCAGATCACTGTATATTTCCATTTCTTTTTCTATCAGCCAAAAGTGTGCAGCTGAGATGACAATGAACTCTTTTGTTTGTTCACATTTAATTCTAACCAGATGGTGGAAAATAGAGTCATGATTTTGCATGGAAATGAGAGAATCTGCCCATTAATAGGACATCGTTGGCAGGAACCACTACGAACCTTAACAAGGTCTGGAATTATAGATGGAGGTGATTTGCACACCCTTGAGTTTTCATTGCTGCCCTTCCATTATTATTGCAAAAACAATAATATAATTCAACAGTTTGGGTGTTTGAGTGCTACTGTCTACTTAAGGTGGGAACTGTGTTGTGACTCATTGATAGATGCAGGGCATGATCCTGAAGCCAAATGTAATCGCATCAATATTGTGCACCCACTTTTCAGTGGATGGCAGGATTGAGTGAGCAAAAAATAAGCACGTTCTGTTTTGCCTACCCAGGCACCATAGCAACTGAAATGCTGTGCTTAAAATGATCATTGTTTTTTCCTCCTATCCCTTTGTTCCATATGGTGCAGCCTGTCAAACTGTCTTAGCACACAGTTCCACGGCCGCCAGCTATCAGTGTGTAAGGAAATGAAATGTGCACAAGATTTGATGACTGATGCTGAGTTTCATAAGCTGCTGCTTTGTTACTTGGCATGCCCTGTGACAGTATGTCCATGGCACAGCACGACTTTCTGCAAGGTGAGACTATGCGCTGTCTCCCACGGATGGAAGCACACTGCATTGATATGTGCTGGTAGCGTGGGGGAAATAATGAACACAATAATGGCATGTTAAACAAGGGGCCACGTTCCCTCTGCTCTTGCAGCGGCAGTAGAATCCATATTGCTTGACAGGAGAAGGAAGGTCATACTTGAAACGATAGTTAAAGATTGGACCATGCAGGTGAGCATGGGAGGTCCTGATAGACTTGCCAGGACAGCCAAAAAGGTTGTCTGAACTGAGACATTTTTGGGTCTAGGCACCTAAATAAATAATATAACTTCAGAACAGCTGAGCAGCCAGCAGATTTCACTGACGAGTTATTTTAACTATTTTATGAGTCCTTTGTCTTGTGAACACACTGTTTTTCAAATACTGGGAGTAATCATGCTCACCATTACTTAAAAAGCTCTAGGATACCCCTGCACCACTGGTGAAAAGAGCAGCTAGAGCTGGGAGTTGACAAAGCTTCATGTTCTGCAGATCTCGTCTTTGCTACTTATGCCCTGTGTAACCAGTGAGGTGACGTGTTGTTGTAGCAGCTGCGTGCTGCTGCTTTGTGCAGCAATAGATGCACTAAGTCTGCAATAGATAAGGATTCAGTATTTGTGTTTCATGCATTTAAAAAAGCAGGGGAAGTCTTATCCTCTATAAATGACATGATTTGATTCACTGAAGCAAAAATGTTTGTCAGCTATGAATATGATAATTCCATTCACTGGAGTCACTGCAATATGATTTTACGACAGGATTGAGAGCCATTTTTATTGATCGCTTCAAATCAATCGTGTTGTTGCATACGAATTGGTACAAAACACCACCCAATCTCATTTATGACTCTCCTGTATCAGTACATGTGGAACGTTGTTCTGTACATCGTATATTTGTTTAATCAAGCTAATATTTCATCTGCTTCGCTGGAAGGTTAATGTGATGAGAACAAACTGAAATTACTGAAAATGTTCGGCCCCTTCATTTCTGATCAAAGAGCTAGCTGAAGGATTTAGACTTTTTTAAAGCACATAAATATTCATTCTCTTTTCTAAACATTAGATTTTGCAGCAAGAAAAGAAAATATCCCCTTTAGGCAAAAACATCTTTTGGCACCACAGAATTAACTTCCAAGTTTCAACTTTCTGTCCTTGAGAAGAGCTGGTAGAACTGGCGACGGAAATCACTTCGCTTCCATGGGCTTTTTGCATCCTCTGCCTCATTTGCCTTTCTAAGGACTCAGTGTAGAAGATCTTGCTTTCTCCAAGTGAGACAACCATCCCAAAACCCTAAGGAAATGGACTTCTCTGGCTGTGCTTTAGTAAAGAGGGCGAATGTGACTGCATACCACCGCAGGGAGACAGAGTTCAACAGTTCCTCAGATTTGGATGATGCTTCTTTGCTGGAGGAATGGGCTCTCAACCCACCAAGCACAAACATGAAGATGTTTTTAATCCCTCCAGTTGTCTGCCTTGTGGCAGGTGCCCTCATCATTCCTACCATCCTGTTTGTGATCTTCTCTAGGTTTAACATCCGTAAGGAAACAAGGTACATGCTGCTGGGAAATGCTCTGTTTTCTGACCTGATCTACCTGTTGTTCTACACCCTGTCAGCTGCTCTCAATGCAGCACATGTACATCTCCCAGAGGAAGCTTGTATCCTCCTGTTATTTTTGCTGGCAGTGGCTTACTGTGGAGGATTGTTCACAGCTGCTGCGATAGTCTTGGACACATACATAGCCATTTTGTTTCCTTTGCGCTACGTTGCTATTTTGCCGCCTTCACGAACTAAAAAAATCATTGTATTACTGTGGATGTGTTCTGGGGCTTTCCCTGGGATTTTCTTCTTGGTGCTATCGAGCACTCACAGCTTTATGCCCTGTGTCCTGGAAATGTGCTCGGTTCCAGTAACACTAATATTAACTCTGAATGGGACTGATGCTGTGAAACTCTGTTTCTGGCTTTCAACCACAGTTATCTTTCTCTGCCTGTCTCTAATATTTTGTTGCTATGCTGTTCTGTATTTTAAAACCAAGCAATCGGGTATATGGGAGAACATCTGCTCCAGAGCCAGTGTAACCTTCTTAATGCACAACACTGTGTTGTTTTTTTACTTCTTTCCACTCTTGGTCCTTTTTGTAGAATCATTCTTGTGCATTAACTTTGTCATCAGAGAGCAGACAGGAATCTGGATTTCCCTGACAGTCTGCAATGTCCTGATGATTCTGCCTAAAGCTTTGTTCCCTTTTCTGTATGGGCTTCGATACAGAGAGATCTCAGCATCTCTCAAATCCATTGTCAGAAGGAAGCATCTCCGCCTGGTGTTACCTGCTCCATCCTGAGCCAACACAGAGCACAGCCACAGCAGAGGAGTTGTCCTTACCTTGTTAGCCTGCAATCCTGATGGAAATCTTCCGAAGAAGTGATCTGAAGAAGATCACTGTCTCCTTGGTGCCAGGTGGCCACAGATCTTTCATCACATCCCAGCTGGGAATACAGCGAATGCTACCCTGGATGAAGTTCTGAGCTTTGTTCTGATGTGGGAGCACAGTATTTTGGAGGAGATACTGACTCAAGATCATTTTCACCCACCTGTGGCAGATGCCTTTCTGGAAAATAGAAAATGAAAAATAGATGATGGAATGCAAAGGGGGTAACCACAGCTCTCCTGACAGCATCACCTACAGCAGAGAGCATCCTTAACCAAATGTGCTGTGAAACAACAGTTATTTCTTTCACTCACAGTGAAGGTTGGTAGCCAGTGTCCTGTTCTGTAGAACATACACCATCAGGCGCTTCCGGAAATTGCTGTACTCCGTGAAACTCTGTGCTTTGTCTTGTGCAGTGCACTAGCGTATTAGCTGCCTTATGGATTCTGTCTGACAACGTGCAAAACACTGAATTTTTATAAAATCTCGGTCTGGTGGGAAGTCATCTTTGATAAGTGTCATTGGGCAGCGCAGCACAAGACACTGTCCGGGAGTAACAGAGATGGGCTTCTGGGTGAGGGAAAACAAGCCGGGAGCCATGGGTGGCAGTGCTTCCCCACAGGGTGCCATCCCACTCTGTCCGTGTGCCGGGTGAGTCGAGCAGGCAGCCACAGGGATCCTGGGTCAGCCAGAGCCCTGGTTCCCCCCAGGGTCCATACTCATGCGACCAGGCTGAGGCTGAGCCCAGCAGCTGGGGCAGCAGGGCAGGAGCAGTGAGGTGCGAGGGTGGGCACAGGGGTACCCATAGCACAGCTCAGACATGACCGGGGTGAGAGGCTAAGCATTAGCACCGTCCCCGAGTCCCTGCCAAGGCATTTCCCAGGTCTGTCTCAAACAGATCTTCTCCAGCAGCCTGGTCCCAGCTTATGGCTGCACCAGAGCTGGTGTTGGGCACCTGCCACCAAACCCCTCAGAAGGTTGGGAAGAGAGGCTGCAGAGCCTGTCGACGTACTGATGGTATCTTGTGGGAGCATTTTAGGTTTTCTGTGCCAACCACCTACCTACAGAAGATAAGTGAAATGTATTTCTGATCTTTAAAGAACTCAAAATTTCATTAGACGTAAATGTCAGTGTGGAAAACTTAAATTGCAGCTGTTCCTTGGACTTGAGAAAGGAGCTTTTGGGTTTCTAAAGGTAATATTTTTAGAATTTGTTGCTTTTTATACAAAAATACATTGGACTTAAAAAAATAAAAAAGGGGGAGGCATTAGAAAATGGCCCTTAATTTCACTCTGTGCGTATGTTTTTGTGTGCAGACACTCCTCACCTATTTGCTTAATGCAAGGCACAGAAAGTGCTGAATGTGGCTTTTTGGTATTTCACATTCATCTGAAAAATCGCTAAGTGTGAGCCAGGAGGAGATGGGTGTCTGGTTGCATGAGATGGTTTTTGGCAATGAAGCCTGGGTGAGAGGTTGCTGCTTAACTCTTTCTCCCCCCATTCCCAAACTGCTTGTTAGCTCTCCTCACATTGCAGTGTCTGCTCTCTCCTGTTTGCTGATACAACTGCTTCTGGGGTTGCAGGTTAAAAATACCCCTCCAGAGAGAAGTGGTAGTGTTTTCATTTTTAACTGAGATTATCCCAGTGATCTGTTTTATAGCATGTTCTGCAAACAGCAGTGTCAGCACAATTGAGGGGATAACAAATTCCAGTTCAGAGGTGGGAATGAGCAGGGACATCTTAGAGGCTTTGCTGCTATGGGGCACTTCTTCTGTAAGGGCATCTTTAAGCTAACGTTGTTGCAGGTGAATAAACTGTAGTATTGCATATTTGCTTTAACCAAGGTTCTGTGCTTCCCCCTAAAAAATATTAAATTCCTGAGTAATTGCTTTTTTCTCCAGAAAACCAAAGTTTTCTCAGTCCACTTCAATAAAAACAATAGGACCTAAAAGTTGCTTCTTACTGGCTGCTTTTATTTTTGCCTAAGAAGAATGTACCATTGACATCTGTTACACAAGCTGTTTGTACAAAGCCTTTATATTCAGCCTGTATATTCAGCTCTTCTGTAACTCTAGGAAGGATGGGGCAAACTCTGTATACTGGGGCAGGTGCTCTCTGCTAAATCCCTTCAACATGTGACATGATCAGTAATGGAAGAAGAGGTACTGGTAATGCCTCAATCTCTCTGGCCAAATCTTCATGCCAATGCCCACTGGCAAAGATGCTGATGATTTACGGGTCGTTGTGTCCATGAAAGATTCTTTCAAGCTTTATGACCTGAGGTTTACTTATGTTATAACTTTTCATGCTAAGTAGTAAAGATAGCAAGGTAAATAGTATGGAGTAAGGTAGTTCTATATACAGCCATAGGTGACTTTGAATAGCTGCAGGTTAATGGTATTTGATCTTCCCGCTAACCTCTGTCAGTTATGAAGTGAATCTCCAGGACAGACTCAGATAGGATTGTATTGCCAGTTCTGTAAATCCTTCCTACATACGCACTTCCTGGATATATTTAGAGACAGCTAGAAGTTTGGTGACATGAAGAAGGACCCAGAAAGAAGTGAATTGGTGATCATGGCAAGTTTGTGTATGTACAAAATCTGCCTACAGTGATAACATAGGTCCAACCAATCAAAGCACTGCTTTGTGGAAACGGCTTTCTAAGAAAGAAGAATAAAATAATCTCATTCATGTCCTTGAAATTGTTCCCTAAAATGGGTGTTTGCCTAAGAAAGGTTTCAGTTGAACAGTTAAGTTAAACAAAATTCTAAAAAAGTCATCCGCATTGCAAGTTGATGATTTTTTATTAATCCACTTCAAGGTGGTTTAACATTATATAGGTAAGATTTTCTTAAGTGACTGCTTGTAGACATCATCTTCCCATGGAATAGCACTGTGCTGTTTGGTACAAAAGCAGTATGTTACTGCATGTGTACAAGAAACACACCGTCTACCTGACTCATTTGCCTTTTGGGATTTATGAAATCTATCCAGATAGGACCAGAGGAATCACCAGGGCAACATCACAAGCACTAGGTCCTATAATTCTTTTCATAAATGTCTTGAGTTTTGTCTTAAAGATTGCTAGGCTGCTTTATTTGTCAGAACCTCATGGCTGTAGCGATTAGCAGCCTTGTAAGGATGTCTCCAGATAAGCTCTGGAAATTAAAACAGGCTATTTACCAGAGTCCAGCTATCGACCTCTCTGAGGTCACATAAGTGAACTTCTTGGATGTCACTGTGCCTGCCCAGCATTTTAATTTAAAGTGAAATGGAGAGCAGTGACTTTAACATGTGATTTGGCAGCTGGGGGCAGTAATCCTTTAATAAATTGCGATGACATGAGTCACTAAAGGTATTCTAATTTATAGCCTAAATATATTCCTGGTCACTTTTTCCCCTCTTTTCTTGTGCCAACACAGTCACTTTGCTTACCACTGCTCTGTTCCCTCTCTGTTGGACTGTCAGTGCAGTTGACTGCTGTCTGTAACCTGCAGACTGAAGGGAGCCAGACCTCATTCCAGGGTCTGGGCCTGTGCCATAAAGCACTGGAGAAAAAAATAAATCTGCAGTTAGATCTGCGCCTCAAATGCAACCAGTTTCAGTGTCATAAGATGCAGAGATTCTCCAGGCAGGTAAACACGCACATAGCTTTGGATTTGGGGATTAGACCATTTGCCATGATTTGAGTAAGTATTCCGTAAAACTAATTAACCTCCTGCAGTTTTAGTAATTAGCATTAGATTGTCTAGTCCTGATCCATCAGTTGGCTGTGTCATTATCTAAGGGAAGTTTAGTATAGAAATAGGTCAGAAGGAAACTGGTGTTTGCCTGGTTGCACTCAACGGCAGCCCTGAGAAACCCAGGGCTCACCCCAGCGCAGGGCAGCACGGGCAGCCCCGAGACAGGTCCCGCAGGGAGTTCTCTGCTCTTTGCTTCACTACTCACTGCTTTTGTACACCGAGATACTCTATGTCCTTTGGACAGACACCCTGACTGTGGCCATTCCCAGGCGGAGGTGGGTATGTATGACGGATGAGGGAGAGCCCGCGACAGGAAAAGGAAACTTGACTTTTGTTGTCTCCTGTCTCCACCCCCACCTCACTGATGGTAACGGAGGGCACAGCACTCCTAGTTCTTGCCGTTTTTTCACAAGCCTCATGTTCTTTGGCAGCTTCACAAAACTACTGACCCCTAATGTTTTTGGTTTTCAGTATACTTCTAGTCCTTCAGATTGCAACATGGATCTAAAAGGTACAAAGAGCAGGGAGGCAAATAAAAACAGCCCTTCATGAACTGCTATTAAAACATCAGGATTTTTGAGAGGCTCTCGTGTTAGGAGAGGGAACGGTGCCAGGCTGTGGCTCTGATGTCTCGTGTTTGTCAGTGAGGGATGGGCCGGCTCCTGCTTGCCCAAGGTCTGCAGTTGTGGCTGGGGAGCTGCCACGGGAGATACAAGAGGCTGATTTCTGTCTCTGATGTGTAGTTAAAAATTCGTATTAAGTTTATTTGGACAATCTTTTCCAAATCAGAGGATTATTTTTCTCAGAAAAAAAAAAAAAACCACCAACCAAGTTTTGCTACTGACATCACGGGCAGATGTCAGCAACCAACTCCCAAGGGCTACTGGTTTTTAGGATGACTCCCACTAGGAAGAACTGGTCAGCTTCAGCAGCCGTTTTGGCAACAGGTGAAGGTACAGAAATGCAGCTCCTCAAGGGCAAAGGGAGACCCTCCCCATTCAACCACCTTCTCTGTCCCTGCGGACCAGCCAAGTCAAAGGTGGTAACTGCTTCACAAAAACCTTTTGAAATAAAATACTCTTTTTAGGGGACATTTCTTCATGCCGCTGAGAAGTAGAGCAGGATGGGACAGTCTAGGCCAGCATGGAAGCTTGAGAAGTGCTGCAC